TCATTTTCCAGTTCTTAGGAGAAAGGACTATTAGAATCATCCTTTTTTTTTAATTTGTGACATGATATTAAATCTTTTTCAAATAAAAAAATTGTTTGTATCATCTGTCCTTAATTTGTATTTGTATCAATAACAAAGTGAGTATATAAGATAATCACATATTTTGCATCATATTTACCCATAGAAATTGACATTTAGGCCTTGTGTAGAAGATAAAAACAATTTGATATTTTAAGGGGTTTTCCATTTTAAATGAAACAATTTACTTGAAGTTTGGCTTTTAAGACCCGTTTCTCGTGATCAATTAAAAGGGGATGCTTACTTCTAATAGGCATCAGAGATTAGCTACATTTAATATAGTCCGATGGATAGACAGGTAGTATATATATCTCTTTTAAATTGTTTCTCCAAGAAAGAGAGGCAAGTTGTTTCATACAACAACTCATTCTTAGCTTCACAGATTGCTAACGAGATTTGATTAAATAAAATGTCATAAAAACTTTAAAACATTGTTATGATTATGTATTATGTGGGTTTATCAATGACAGATTATCAATTATCAATCTTTTTCTATATAATTGTCTTATTAATTATCGGTCTTCTTGGACATCTGTATCTAAGATTAATTGATTTCATTTTATGTTTAGAAAGGGCATTTTTGCACATGGCAGCAATATCTTATTCTTCACATCTCTTACCTGTCTCACGATATCAATGCCATTTACTCAAACTTGTTATCACCTTTATGGTTAGATCTTAGGATTGTGTTTTTTGATTTTGCAATGCATAGCTCTACCTAATTTCAGTGCTTAAGGTGTCCCGAACCTCTGCTATAAATTTCACTAAGAAAATTTAAAATTTCTAATTTTGATTTTCATGAACAACAATAACATTAGAGCCACAGAAAAATAGTATGAAGCGCTGCTTATTCTTAAATTTAATGCTGTGAGAAATGATTTTTATGTCAGATCATGATACTTCATCACAGAGAACAGAAAGAGTAACGATTTATTATCACAGCATTAAATCTAAAATTTGAGGTGTATATAAAAAACACCTAGTATCATACCTATTAAAATCATGTTAGAAAACATCATGAAGCGATGATTCCTAAGTCTGAAAATCACAATGTTATATGTGGTTGTTAGAAAAAAATACATCCGCGAGGAGGAGTTATCGTTCTTCTAAACATTTCTTCGTGTGAAAAAAAATGACATACTAATAAAAATGCTGTATTAAGTACTTTAAACATTAAAAAAAATTTAAAATGGTCCTTAAAAGGATACAATTTTTCAATTTATAAGGCTTTTCAAGTTGGATTTAAATGTTTTATTCTTAGATATAATAAAACGATTTGGGAAAAAATTCGCAATTTATAAGGCTTTTGAAGTTGGATTTAAATTCGAAAGGCTACGAATTTTTTTAACAGTAACACAGAAAAATCCTATGAAAAACATCATGTTGAAAAATCTGCACGAAGGATATCAGGTAATGCCCACTTTTTCTCATAAAAGGCATTTTTTGTTGCATGAATTGATGGGAAATAGTTCTTCCAGTTTTTATCTAGATATTGTTTATTTTACGACATGTACACTTACATAAAATGTTTTTGGTTGAACAACTTCAAAGGATACAGAACAAAATATTAGTTTCTTGAGTACTAGTACCATCTTTTCTGAAAGGGTAATCGGTATAAAATTCTTTTGAGAAAAGAAAAGGACACTTATGAAAATAAGGTTACATAATTTTTTTTTTTCATTGATAGGAAATTGTTTTGAATCATACGTGCCATTTCAAAATAACTCATGAAAAACATATGCACTGTTTCAATGTTTATTTACAGTTTTAGATACCTTAATTGTTAATCCTGTTTGTTCTTGGTAACCCTTTCAGTTTTATTTGATTTTGATGTCGCATTATCCTAGTTCAATGGAACTTCGCAGACCACCATGATAGTGGGAATGTATGCCATTGGGTATTAAAATTCTAGACATTGACAATGCTCAAGCTAATTATTTTGTTTACTTTTTCTGTAACATTTTATAATTCAACGTTTTCTTTTGATTTATTTTTTTTTCTTATTTGTGCAGTTTTTCCAGTGATCAAGTTAAAATCAAGTAGCTAGCGGACGAAAACCACATGTCGCCGTTGAATCATGAATATGTGGTAGCCCTTCAAACTTTGCACTTTAATCAATTAATTGTAATATAAAACATTGTTCTATATTAAAAACATGACTCGCAATGATTCCATTTTCTTGATTGTTTCATATTTATGCGATGGAATTGAAAAAAGTCAGATCAAACTTTCGATGCATTTTCCAAATAATTCTATGTTAATAATTGTTAACTGACGACCCTTTGTTTAAATATCTGTACAGTATCTCGCCAAAATATCTGATAAATTAATCATAGTTATCATTATCTTATAGTTTTTAAGCTTTAGTAAAAATATCTGAGTAATATATAAAGCCAAGCAGATTTAGATATGGGTCATGATACTGATTTACAATAATTGGATAAGATAGTAAATTTCCTCTTCTGATATCTTGCACGAAAGTCGATAGGCACTTAAATTTTTTTATGAGGAAACTTGTGAGAGTAACAATTATTTAGTAATGAAGACATGGAAAAAATATATATCAATGGGGAACGTGTTGTCTGACCTTATTTATGAACATTAATACTGATTATTTCATCATATTGCCTTTCCTTTCTGAATAGTTTTCTTGGAATAATGTAGGACACATGAAGAAAAAGTGTATTATATATGCAGGTGTATAAAAACAGGAATTGTGTACTTAAAAATATACATGAAAATTAGCAAAAATTATTCAGTCATAATCTTCCGTATAAATGTTTTATTCGCGCATAGATGAGACAGTTTCTGTGTTGAGTTCGATGTAAAACCCTGTACACATACGGAAACACTGAAAGTTAATAAAATACTTAGAACTATTGCTATGTTTTATGTTGATCCTCATGTGGAGAAATTTTAACACGATGTCATCAATATTAAAGGTTTACAATCCCTAGGTGTACTTATGTGCATCTTTATTTGTATTTGAAAGTTTCACAAAAGGTATGTATTTACGCTTTCTATTTTTTTCAAAACAAATGACATAAAAAATCTAAGAAGCTGAACAGGTTTGTAATGCACTTAAATCATGAATATACATAGTAACATTCTATCTATGTTGGTAAAACTAAAATTGTGATTTTTATGTTAAGTTTTTGGATGGTTTGAAAGGTAATACTCAGGATATAAGATGTGATGCAAAACAATATTCTACAAATGGATCGTATTCTGCACATTACGCATGCGATGACGACATGGACACATTTTCTCTGACACGGAATGACGTAAAACAGAGCTGGTCAATGACTCTTGATAGTGATATTCCAATCTTCTGGATTTTCCTAAGCGTTAGTTGTGGTATGCTAAAAATGATCCATGTTAAAAATTTCTGTGCCCTCATCAATGAAAATTTGATTTCAAATCATAATAAATAATAATTAATTCTTCTCTTTAGATTTGATTTATATATGTTTCAAATATGAGGGATTGGACATTACTTTTAAATTAGATTTTTGTGTATTCTGTAGGGACATTTGACGTCAAAATACAGCACGACACCCATAAACCCCAAAATTGTTCCCAGATTGTAAGAAGATGCAAAACAACTACCAAAAGTGAGATTGTCACTTGCGGACTCGAAACCTACGGACCTGTTGTAGGAAACAAAATTATCATCACAAGACTAGACGATGGCGCTATGCAAATTGACGATATAAAACCAATAAGTATGGATTATTGAGCGATTTTTTATAACTGTTTTACAAAATATAATCTAACATTGGAAGCGAAACAGTCTCTTTTTTCCCTTAACAATTAGATTTTAAACCTTGGAAGATCCTACTAAAGAACTATTCTGGTGGTATTGAAGGCACAAAGGCTCTAGATGGCGATCTAAACACCTACTTTTTAACTGAAGTAAAGATCAATGCAACATGGAATTTGATGCTGAACACTAGTTACGAAATCAAATGGATACTTCTTCTTATCAGAGGAGGTAAGTTATTTAGGCTAAAATCTATCCAGTTTGTAAAGATAATGTAATATTACAAGATACTTTTGTAAGACTTTATTGCCATTTTTGTGTCTTAATTTAATAAGGAGAATACGAAGTGCACATATCTAAAAGTCTGCGGCGTCTAGATACGTCGACCCTTTGCAACATACTGAAGCTTAGTAATCCTGCAGCAAAATACCACATTATAGTAGAGTGTTACAAAGATGTGAAAGGGAACTCTATTGTAATTAGAAGAATCGACAATGGACCAGTGAGACTGTTTGAAGTGCATCCTATAAGTAATTATTCTTACAATAATGAATAACTTGTGATTTTGTTCACCCAGCAATTAAATTCTCTTTATTGTTAAAATTGTCGAACACATATTTGAAAATTGCAATGTATGTTAGATATTAAATTTTGACTATCAACAATTTTTTTTTATTTGACTCAAAATTGCATAATGTTACATCATATCTAACTTTTTCAATATTTTATATTTTTTCAATCAATCGTAGTTTGTCCAGGAAACCACTATGGAATAAACTGTGCTAAATGTAGAAAGGCGTGTGTTTCCTGTAACCCTATATCAGGGATATGCACGCGATGCAGCGAATCTTTGTATGGTAATTATTGTCAACATCAATGTCCATCAACCTGCTCTACGATGAGATGTGACCAACAAACCGGACGTTGTTATAGCTGTAGAGAAGGGTACTATGGAAATTATTGTGAATTCCAAATCCTGACCACCTGTAACTATTTTTTATTAACCAAAACTTTTATTAATAATGATCTTTCAGTCATTTCTCGTGACATATTTTTTTTAAGACAGTGTATGCTTTCTGATATATTATGTGCTATAGACACAATTATTTTTTAAACGTAATGTGAAATAACATCAGCACTGCCAATTTAAAACTTGAGTATGGCTGTTTACTAATGCCAACAATTTGAAATTTATGTTTTTCTTTGCTTGTATTCAGTTGCCACTAATACGTGTGTTTTATTCATGTTTTTGTTTTTTTTTTTTTTTTTTTTTTTTTTCTTTTATTTGCCTAATGGTGATTTGTTCAATCATAAACATTGTTTCTTGTAGATAAAAAAAACTGAAGTAGTTACCATCAGTGCAGATTCTAAGAGGAGCAAGTCTAGTACTGCTTTGATGGATGTTTTCATAGGTATACACATTCTATATTTGATATCTCAAACAATACGAATAAAACAAAATGGAGTTGGAAAGATATTCTATAATATTTGTAGAGTGTATAAATAGCCTTTAAATCCCGAATTAGTTGAAAAAGTGTACAAGAACTATACGTTATGTTAGTGAGTGCGTCACTTGTCCTTATGTTTCACTAAAAACGTGTAGTATTGAAAATAATCACAAATAATGCTAAGTGAGTAAACCAAATAATTTGCAAAAACTAAACACATATTTCAATGGTGTATAACACCAATGCAAATTTGTCATTGTGAGGGGACTGAAATCCGTAAAACAATGTAAGCATTGAGAGTTACCGTCAAACGCGTCATACCATCGGCGTACGGATTCTAATTACATATTAAACAAAACAGATGCTTTTTTAGAAGACAATAAAGTTTCAGAAGATAGAAATAATGAAGGAGACCGAGATCAATTCCCGATCCTGTTGGTGACACTGAGTGCAATGGTTGTTGTATTACTAGTGGTTGTGGTGATTCTCTTCGTTTCAAGGTAAAGTTCTTCGTTTGATATATATATTAAATTATATTTCTCATATGATCCAAGCTCCCTGATTGGCTCAAACTTGATCATATGATAAAAGTATATAAAAGCAATGTATATATACTTGAGTTACTATTTGTAGATTCTGAAATGCATATCGACTTGATGCTTCTATATATGGTAATACATGTACATTCATTCTCTAAAAGAAAAATAGTGCGGAATTCGAAACGGCTTATACAGTGTTTGACTTGACATTTATTTAAAAAATAATAATTTTGTTCTGTAATAATTAGTTATATTAGACATAACAATGCCTACCATAAGGCTCTACTTTATAATGAAACATATATTGTATGTTTTTTTAAATCGATATAAAACATAACTTTAAAATATGAACCCTTTAAAATTTATTAAGTAAATTTCCCAAATTACTCTATTGGTTCAAAGCTTAGGAAACACAATTACCGTATAATTAAATAAGCAGAATTTTAAGCGAGGTTTTAATTTTGGCATTATTAGCGAGAGTGCTGAGATCGCTTAAAAATTAATTGCCTTTTCTTTGTAATAGCTTCTTTAGTGAGCATTTTAAAATCGCTAAAATTAAATATCGCTAAAAATAAAATACCGGTTTTAAGGATAAATCGCTTAATTTGTGTCTCGCGAAAATTTAACATACGGTACATTAAACGACAGAATATTTTTGATCTTATGGCTAGTTCACCATTATTTCAACTTTTTTGTCAATCTCTTTAAAAAAATAATATAATAAATGTAGTCAATTGTTTGATCAATCCAGAGATATATCGACTTCAAGAAAAAAGCATATTCGTGCGAGATCGATATGCATTGTTTTTTTTATGTAAAAGGTGGAATAATGTAAGATCAAAGAAAGAAAAGAAAAGTCACCCTCCAAAGAATCTTCCGAGATCGGAGTCAAGAAATGAGTCCGAGTTAGAGGAGAATACTCAAAACGAGGCTGGATATGTCGAAGAAGAAGTTATTGTCGTAGAGTACAGTAATCTGACGTCAAAAAGGGTCTCAATAGAGCAGGTCATCAAGGAGTTGCCAGAACGAAAACGCAATGGTACACTGGAAAAAGAGTTTAATGTATGTATCAATATTTATTGGTCTTCCCAGTTTATTATATTTCTATTCAGTCTACCGTTTAGGAATTTCATCAAATAAAATTAAGAAAGGTGATTTGAATTTTATCAAGTAACAACTGCAAGAGAGAGAACTTTATTTCAGGCATCTAAATATGATGTTTAATACTACTAGTATATAAAGATTTGTATGAAAGATATACCAAAATATATAGCCTTGATTTTAGACAGGGAATAGGGGCAGAAAAATCTACTCTAGTTAAAATATAGGATAGACATTCAATTTCATTCATTCCATTCTGAAGCAAGTATAAAAACATTGAATCAATATTCATTTTAAAAATAAAATAAGTTAATATTTTTTCTTCACAGGACCTTCCGTGTGGATTGCTAGAATCCTACTCAAATGCACTTAAGATTTCAAACAGGAGCGGTAACAGATACAAAGGCATCTATCCCTGTGAGTTTAGTCTTTACATTTTACTTCAGAATAACATTTGTTTTTGCGAATAAGAAAATCTGATTAATAATACATTTACATAAAATAAATGGACTTGGTGCCATTTCAAACCGTTTATCAAGTGTTGTCTTATTTTTTTTCAGATGACTATAATCGTGTGAAGTTAATCAGAACAGAAGATTATAAAGACGATGATTTTGTTAATGCTTCATACATTCATGTCAGTATAAATTTAATTCTTCAGATATGTTTCCGTGTCACATTTCTATTTTGTAATTTTCCCATGGACATAATAGCTATTTCCAATCATGTACTTATATATAGCATGTTTATTTCTGTTTTAGGGTTTCGCCAAGGAACGTGCTTACATAGCCGCACAAGGTCCACAAGTTTATTTTTGAAAACAAAGTTTCATTTCCTAAAAGTTTAAACAATGCTAAACATGCCAAAGCTACACAGAATTTTGAATAATTTTTGGAAAATTATCTATTTTTATAAAATGAATTTAATAGCTTCCTGTTCAACAGACATATTTTCTCAAGTATTGGCAACTGTCAATTAATCTAATTAAGTACACTTGCTAATTTTAAAATCAAAATGATTCATAATTTTTTTAATGCAACAAGTCCTTTCAATCCCAAGACATTAGAGGATTTCTGGACGGTAATATGGCAGAATGACTCCACAAGAATTGTTATGCTGACTAGTCTGTACGAAGGCGATAAGGTCCTTGATAAACATTATACAAAACTAATACATAGAATAACAAAACCCTCTCTTTAGATTATAATTACTGGAATAAGAAAATAAGTTAAATATGTATATTAAATTTTTTGTAATATATGTGTATGTTCTTTCTTTTTAGTTAGAGGACATGAAATGCATGATGCTAATATAAATGTGTATGATTTCCTGTATGGTTTCCTTAAGATAAAAATCGAATTTTGCATATTAAGGACTTTTTGATGGATTATGATGCAGTTGGCTTTTTACTTCCTCTCTTTAGATGGAGTGTCTGAAGTACTGGCCTGACACAGAGCTGGACGTTGGACCTTACAACATTAGACTGGACACAGTGGATGTGTATGACAGCTACGTCAGGCGTTATTTGATTGTCCAATATCAGGTAAATTGTAATATTAACAGTATTGTCTTGTATCATTCAAACGTAGAGGAAATTTAGGTATATGCCTTATTTAGACATTATTCACTTATATTTTTGATTTATCATATTACAGTTTGAGCTTAATGTCCGCCGTACACATCTGAGATGCGGAATTTTGACTTTTTTTTAAAAGAAAGAAAATAATTGGAATTTCTAGACAAAACGAAAAATGATTTGACTACTTCTATGTTCAAATTATGGAAATTTCATATCCTACATGTATCAACATTATCCTTGTATTAAACTTTCGAAGTTTGAGTTTAGGTATTTATTTAGATTGACTTTAGTACATAAAGAAACCAAACATCTGCTTCCGATAAGAATCTAATGTGTATTATGTAAAGATTCAAATTTAATTTTAACAATTTTACCCCCATGTTCCCCTTTAATTGGTTAGGAAGAAGAAAAAAGAGTGACACAATTTCATTTCACCACATGGCCCGACAACTCCGTTCCAGAGGATCTGACGTCACTCATCTGCTTTAGGAATTTAGTTAGGAATGGTATGACGTCTTCAGATGGACCAATTGTTGTTCATTGCAGGTAAATACGTACGTTGAAACGTACATAATATAACAGCATCTACATTCAACTTGTTTGCTATTATTCTGACTTAAAAGAATATAGTTCTCAAATTTATGTCCTTGAGTATTCAATATCGAAACAGTCTTGAGACATTTTCACCTCGTGAAAATGGTCATGGAATGTTTGTATAAAACTGTCTTGTCTGTTGTCCATATAAGTTCATTAATGATGGTTAAATAAGTGATATTGAATAATGGGCGAAACCAATATGTAAATAATAAATGTCCGAGGAATATAATGTACCTCACAAATTAGACTATGATTTCTCATATAGCTTGGAAAAGTAAATATAAATCGAAAGTCCTGCCAAATAAACATTTAAATACGCAATGCATGCTACGTAATTTTTATCTGATTCCACATATAATAAGGAAAAGTTACAACCAAAAGTCATCTTTCATACATGTAACTTTAGAAGGTAAATTAGCTACTTATATATTATATTTTTCCATAATTTATACTACATAAAACATACTTTAGCCTTAATATTTATATCTTATTCTAGCAGTTTGTATTGCAATTCCGACGCATTATTAACGTCTATTATTCGGTATTTGATATTGTTTTCATTAATTCAATATATGAAAAAGGAGGAGTATTTGTGAGAAAAGTGTTGATATGCAATTGATAGAATGCATTTTCATGCATTTCTTGTTTAGTCGTACATTTTATCAAGTATGGTGTGATTGTTTACAATGTGTCCAAAGGCTTGATTATTCAACTGTTTGACATTCATACACGGCACTTGACATATCAAGTAGCGAGCTCGAGATTTTAATTTTGATATTGGGAAATTAACATATTTACATGTGTTTTTCCGATAATTTACAAGTTTGAAAATGTCAATATCTTAATCATTAGATGTTTAAAAATACATTTTATCTATCTGTAACTTGTTTGCTATAATGTCATTGAATATATTTTCAAATTGTTTCATATAATTATTTTTGCTCCCGAATTTATTACTTTTAAATCCGTTAATAAATCATTTGAAGTCTTTCTGAAAATGACACGCCCTTTTTATTACAGCGCAGGGATAGGAAGGACAGGGACATTTATCGCCCTTGATTATCTCCTGGAAGAGGGCGCTGCTGAGCAGACGATTGACGTCAAAGGATACGTATCTTCTCTTCGACATCAGCGCGGGAAGTCTATACAGACTTGCGTAAGACCATGTTTTTTTTTTTAATTCGATGAAATATATAATTTTCCGACAATGATGACCATCATGACTACTCCAACATTCTAGTTTTTCACTAATTTCACTCAGTGGTATAAGAAGAGTTGCAGATAAGAGATGAGTACCTCAAAGCGTAACAGACAGAGGGACGGACGGACGTACAGACGGACAGCTAGACGGACGGACGGACGGACATACCGATTACAGTATACCCTCCCACTTTTCAAGCTGGGAGTATAATTATCCCCCCTTTGTCACCAGCGATCTATCATTAGAATAGGTTTTCAAGCTATTTGTACTGTGATAAAATTGTGATTAAAGATATTTTATTGAAATGTCATCTTACTCCGGCATTTTTTCAATACTTTTAGAAGCAGTATATCTTCCTGCATGACTCACTGATAGAAGGATTCACAAATAACAGTGCTCGCAGGAGCGTGTTGTCCGTGCTTTAAACCCATATTGGAGTACTGTGTGAACTTTCCATTGTTTATTTTGTTTGTTTGTTGCTTAATGTTATTCTCTAGAATATTTCATGTATACGGAGATGCCATTTCTTTTGGTTGAAGGCTGCACCTTTATTCCTGTAATCGACAGTCAGGACTATTGAGTTGTGAAGGATAAAAAAGACAATTGGGTCGTTTGGGATTTTTTTCTTACCAACACCTACTGCGACACGGGACCTAATTTACTCCGCCTTATCCGGAAAGCCGGTCTCCACGTTACGCAGTGGATTCACACCCGTGATTTAAGGATCCGCCCTTTATTTTGCGACACAAGAGCAATCGATGATCCATTAGCCAAAGAACACATATTCGTTAATTTATTGTTCTTTTAAACCGATTACTATTATAAGAAGGAAAGGGTGTGTTCGTAAAGATTATCGAATGCAGTATTGTAGAAGAATGTATTTACTATGACAAAAGAATTGACTTATAGGAGAGAAGAATTTCCCGGAAAAAGTGACATTCAAAAATTGATCTTTTTATGTTTTTTTTTTTTTTTTTTTTTTTTTTTTTTTTTACCGTATATATAACTAAATTTTTCAAATTTGTATTCTATACCTAAAATTTATTATTTTCAACTTTACAATAAACCTCCAAAGTTAGCCGAATCACCATTTTGTCTGTTAAAGCATTGATATCTGCATGAATTTTGGCCTAGAAGTCCTTTAGGGCAGACCTGCCCCTAATTACAATTGTGATATTTTGATAGGTTGGGTTGTAAGGAATAATTTAAGATAGGATTGTTTTTAGGGGCACCCCTGCCCTAGGGTCGAAATTCACAAAAAAAACTAAAAAAAATTAAGGAAACATGATTTTGATAATCTGCTTAAAATTTATACTATTAAGTCTTATACCATGAATAGCTCAGTTGATATATACGCTGACTTTTACACCATGGATAATTTATTTTTGAAGTCGGGGGTTCGAATCCACCTGGCACCACACTTTTAAAGTTTTAAATTTTTGCCTTTTCAAAGACTATTTTGATTTTTTTTTATAAACTTGTGTATTTTCCTTTAATTATCTATCCTTTATGCATGTCCATTCTTGATATAAGAAACACTAAAGAGAGGACTATCAAATCGTAACCATCCAAAGTACAGTTGTCAGTCAGACGGAACAAACTTCATATAAGTACACTTTCACCGAGGACAAGAATAACTCACATTGTATTACTCGATACAGGTATTCATGGCAGCATTGAGGCGCGATGTTTTTCAATTGTATATATTCCTTAGAATTTAATCACATTGATTTTGGCTACATATATTAGTAACTCTTTTCCTTGGATCTCATTCAGGCCTATATAATTTGCACACATTAATGGCATGTTTTATTATATCAACAGATAAATAGCTTAGATATAAGAAATTGAATTTCGGAGACAGTAGACATCGCCATTATGCACAAGGAGAAGTAAAGAAAATATCTATTACATTTGGAGATATCAAACTCAGAAAATCAATGAAAGCATTCCTCCTACCTCTACTCACTGAAATAAATATTAAAGAAAAACAAATTGTTATATGTATTCAGCCTAATGCCATTGATCAGAACGGAAAACAACAAGCTTTTTGTAGAGAAAAATCCAAGCCGGGTCCTATAGATCAGCTCCCTATTTATAATGAAGTGATCCTTTATCATTAGTTGTATTCGTATCAATAACTAAGCTCTACCTAATATCAGTGCTTAAGGTGTCCCGACCCTCTGCTATAAATTTCACTAAGAAAATTTAAAATTTCTGATTTTGATTTTCATGAACAACAATAACATTAGAGCCACAGGAAAATAGTATGAAGCGCTGCCTATTCTTAAATTTAATGCTGTGAGAAATGATTTTTATGTCAGATCATGATATTTCAACACAGAGAACAGGAAGAGTAATGATTTATTATCACAGCATTAAAATTAAAATATGTGGTGTATATGAAAATAATACTTAGTATCATACCTATAAAAATAAACATCATGAAGCATGCTTTCTAAGTCTGAAAATCACAATGTTATACTGAAGATTGGCAAATATTCACGATGGTTTTAATTTCGCTATGTTTGCGATATATTAATTTTCCGCGAAATTAAACCCATTGTGTATTTTATTATAAGTTTTTAAAGCGTTTAAATGCTTATAAGAAATTTTGAATTAATTTCTTGCAGTGTGAAATTAAAACAATCGCAAATGTTATTTTATAAGATATCGTGAAATTTTAACACCGTGGAATTAAAACGACTTACAGTAAGTGGTTGTAAGAAAAAAATACATCCGTGAGGAGGGGTTATCGTTCTTCGAAACATTGTTCGTGTTAAAAAAATATCATACTAATAAAATTCTGTATTAAGTACTTTAAACATTAAACCATTTTTAAAATGGTCCTTAAAAAAATACATTTTTTTCAATTTATAAGGCTTTTAAAGTTGGATTTAAATGTTTTATTGTAAGATATAATAAAACGATTTGGGGAAAAATTCGCAAACAAATAGAAGGTAATGTTTCCATCATATGTTTAATTTCATCAAATTGACTACTCAGAGGTCTTAATTAGGAAACTCTGATAATTTTATCAATTATTATTCAATTTATAAGGCTTTTGAAGTTGGATTTAAATGTTTTATTGTTAAATATAATAAAAATGAGGAAGAAATTAGCTAAAGGAATTGACGCGGTAAATATAAGTAATATTCTTAATCACAAAAGAGTCCAGTCTTGTATACCACCATATTTCAAGTTCATATTTCAAGTTAAAGACTACACCTTGTATTCCTACAAAAATACATCGACCATTGCTTCCAAATTTTTCAATTACAGTAAAATTTTACATGGCCTGGATATCGAGTATCTGAAACATAATCGACCATTGTGTTCATGTTCTTCTTCGCCCTATAACGATAATCCTGCTGGACACTTTATTACAGGTGACGTAAATATAGTCAATAATGACGACCGTAGATAACTTATTTTAAAAGGTCCTAAATATAGGGAACCCAGGTCCTTCAACTGGTGTCAGAATTTCATAAATATTATGGATTCTGTTTAAGAGTACACCAGACGATGGGCCAGATATGAAAAGGAATGACGCTGACACAATGTCACAATGGCATCAGAATGCTATCAGATCGAAATCGCGAATTAAAAAGTTGAGGGGCAAAATGAAAACCGTCTATCCTTCTGCATTCAATAATCCAGAAGGGGGGGGGGAAATTCGATAGATTAGATGATCAGTACGTACTGGTCCTTGCTGACAAAGCAGGTAACGACATTTTCTTTGTTTGTAACGCTCATTATAAAAATTGTATTTTAGAAGAACTTGGATTTAATTTTACAAGTGGTAATCCAACTTGTACTTATAATTCCTTCCGAAGGAATAAATTCTACAAAATCATATGTCAGTTTTGAATATTTTCAATATCCCGAAAAACCAAAAGGCATTTGAATGTCCGGTTGGCAGGGGATGCTTAATCCTCTATGGCACCTAAACCCACCTCTGATGTTTTGTTTGCTCTGCTCCTGTTTTGTATTGTTTTATGAACTTTGATATTGAAACTGTTCGTTATCTCCATATCCTTCACTAAAGAAATACAAAGTAATGGTTCCATCGTATGTTACATTTCATCGAATTGAATACTCAGAGGTCTCAATCAGGACTCTCTGATAAAGGAAACTATGAGTAGTATTTATATTTTGTACTTTGAAATTTATCTGTCTTATCAGGGGGTCGGTACCCCTTAAATTCATGTCAAACATGCAGATTTCCCCTATCATGCAATTCACTATCCTAACGTTAACTGGCTGGACAGTACATAAGTGGCAGAGTTGTCAAAGATCAGATATAAGTGAGTTTGTATGTGAGTCAATCTAAGAATATTCTTTGTAAATTCAGTACGTTTCATCTACGACATTTATTCTAAATTGTATTTCTGAAAATATTTTTTGGACTTAAAATATATATATTTTGAACTTTAAATCCGCTTTTCAATTTGACAACAATATAACGACAATTTAGATTATTTATAAAATGTTTCTATCTGATTATTAAACCTTGGCACAGTTAAATATTGCATCTACATACATATGCGGAATGTAATTTATGTACATGGATTGCGTTATTTATGGTATGTAAATGCGAAACTATTATTTTGTTATGGAAATTTTAAGCCCTTTTTAATTTTTGGGCCAATGATAAATCGTAATATTTTGAAACGCAACAATCAAACAAAAGCATTTTGACCAAAATTTGCTTAAATACATCAGTATAAAAAATTGCCTATTTACGGTACATCATATATATCGATATTTCAAAAAACGAGAATAATAAGTGGACTATAAAAAAAAAATTCTATTGTATATTTCATGTGTGTAAGACTCCAAAGTCCGATGATCTCGCCAAAACCCGATGGCCTGCATCAAAGCCCGATGCGTTGATGTCGATCGGGAGATCAAATTCCGATGATCACGCCAAATTCCGATGGCTCCTTTCCTATGAGACACCCTGCGTGAAAGTGCAATGGATGGACATGCCTTAGTCGGCTCAATGCTGCGCTGAAACAATCAACGTTGATGTATTCCGACTTTAATCCTAGACGTTGCTGTTCTTAAAAATCAATCATTTCTGCATTTGTCCTAGCATACAATTTTAACGATTTTACATCCAATAGAGATTTTTTTTTTATTTAAGTCCTCGTACACTACTTGACTGATTAGGGTTAGTATTTGCACATCATTAAACTGGATATGGGATAACTTTTAACCAACCAGAGAAGTTTAGGGTTAGTTCTCGCACACTATGCAACTGATGAGGGTTCGTCTTGCAACTACCCGAGTCTATTTCGGTAACAATTCTTACACACTTTTTGACAGATTAGGTTTAGTTTCGCACCCAACCGAGAAATAAGAGTTTTCCTCGCATAATTATTTGTATTTATCTAAGATCGTTGCATGTGGTACCATTAAAATTTGGCGCTGTAGTACTATATATGACGTCACAAATGTTAATTATTTTCCGCACCATCGGACCTTGATGTTTAAAACCATCAGAGTTTGGTGCAGACCATTGGACTTTGGCAAGATCTAAACCATCGATGTTGAAAAATCCGTACAAAGGATAAGATATTAGAGATTGGTCATGATACTGATTTACAACTGAATAAAACAATAAATTTCCACCTTTGGTATTTTGCACAAAAATAGGTACTTTAACTTTTTATGAGGAAACTTGTTAAAGTAACACTTATTCAGTTACGAAATCTTGGAAATATACACTTAACTAAACTTCTAAATGTTCATTCTAATAAATGTATTTAGTAAAAAACTACTTTATAGAATGATATGATATTTTCAAATTATTGCAACAAATGAATCTTCTCAACAATAGTTGAAAGAAAATCAAATATCACTGATGAAAACCAATGTTCCATGACGAAGCTTAGAAACAATAAATCTGTATTTTGCGGCACGTGTTTTGTGTAATTAGCATCTTTTTGTGATCATTAGCACATTTTATAAACTGGTTTCAGTAAAACACACTAATTTGCAAAATAGCCATTGAGAAAGAAGGGAGAGCCATTGAGATGTTGATATCTGGATCATCATTGCATCACGTTTTACTAACTTTTATTTTAGCTTTAATTATCCTTGATATTACTGTTAAAAATTAACAACCCGTATCAAAACCCATTTAAACACATTTTTCTATAGGCTATACGTCATTTTCATCGCCAGTTTATCCCATTTTGAAAGTTTTGGACAAAATTTAACCAAAAAGGAAATGATGTTGATCTTCGTCTGAGGCCAAGGTTTCCCGTCACACCAGATTAAAAGAGTGGTAAAATGTCCTGAAACATTCTAAGAAACATGAAAACAATCAATTTCAATCGTATGAAAATGATAAGAAATCGGTGCTCGTGTCAGTCTTATATCATCTCAAGCAGTCTGAATCATCCTTAAAGTGGTGCACTTTCGTGCTAAACGCTCAAGGATATTGACCAAAAGGCATCTGCGTGATGATGTACTGTCAAATTTCCGGATCTGAATCCCATTTAACAAATATGGGATTTTTTAAAGGAATATCAACCCCACCCCACCCCCCCCCCCCACCTCCAGACAATTTCAACGGTTATAATATCGCACTTTGGAGTCCTACACGTACGTATTAGAATATACATGGTGTACCTGAAATATATATAATAACAAATCTGATTTGTATCGTGGTCATTTTCTTCCGGCTTTTGCATATATATTGCTGTATTTGCAAAACAGAGACAAAGCATTAATTTTTTTTTTATATTAAGTCCAGACACGGAAACATTTCCGCTAGAATTTCATTTTATCAGAGAAAACCCTTTACATGTATTTTTATTGATGCCTGTGAATGATGCTACATGTAACAGCGTCAAGGCTTTTCATTCTATGGACTTACTACTGCAATGTGTTACTTTTTGTAAATATAATACATGGTAGGTCTTTAATCTCTTCTAGTTTTAATTATCAAACAATTAACATTAAGTATAAATATACTAGAAATCATACATTTAGTAAATGCACATGCATCAAATCATACTTTTTAAGATAAAAGAAATTACTAAGATAATTCTATATGTAAAATCATTTGAAAAGTTGTATTTCGGAGATTGTTTAGAAGTTGAGAGTCAAAGATGTGAAGCACAGCAGTCTTCCACAAATGGACTACATTCTGCAAATAATGCTTGTGATGGTGACATGGAGACATATTCTCTGACTCTGGACGGCAAAAACCAGACGTGGTCAATGACACTTGATAGAGTTCATCAAATCTTTTGGATTTTCCTCAGCATTAGTTGTGGTACATGTATTTTGATTCTTGGAATATAAAAACTCTCAAAGACATTTAACATTGTATAACGGTTTATAAACATGTGTGTATGTTCGAAATTACTGTAGATCACTTAATTTTCGCGACACCTTATTTTCGCGAGATAGTCATTGAATCTTCATTAGCGAGACAAAATTTTCACGAATTGTTGTCATTGCTCTATATAATCTTAAGGAATTCTATTATACGCGAAAATGACATTTTCGCGAACATACCGTCTCGCGTAATTACGCTAAAATAAAGTTCTCGCGAATAAAAAGTGATTTACAGTAAATACTTTATTAATTTTTTTCCTGTGTAAACATTTAGCTGGTGTTTGTTTTTTAAAGGCAGATATGGCATCTATATACAATTAGACACATCCGAAAATCGAAATTGTAAACAGATTGAGAGAATGTGCAATACAATCCCTAAGACTGAAATTGTAACTTGCCATCCCTCCGGAAATGTGCTTGGAAATAAAATCATCATAAAGAAATTAGATTATGGTGCTATGCAAATTAACGAAGTCAAAGCATTAGGTAAGAATTTTTCGAATTTCTTTTTTATTTAGATAAAAAGTAAATTTTGTGACTTTGATAAATTAATGTTTTCATTTTTTTTACTTTCCAAGGGAATTTATTAGACCTGCATAATATTATGTTCTGTTTTTCTTCGCGACTAGATTTCAAAACCTTTCAAATGGTTCCATTAAAAAACCAGTCTGTTGATCTAAACGGGAAGGATGCATTTGATGGCAATCTAGACTCGTACGTTGTAACAAAGGAAACAGTAAATGCAATATGGTTTATGATAATGGAAAATACATATGGGATTAAATGGATACTTATTTCTTTGAGAGGAGGTATTTTATAGAAATAGTTCATTTAGAGTAAAATTTCAGAAATCCTAAAGGAATTACTTGAAACTATTACATGGTTCACTTTCGAATCTACATTTAATTAGGAGATTACGAATTGCATATAACAGCTAAAAAGCAGCTCCTTCCGAATGAATCGACTCTCTGCCGAGAATTTGATTTACGAAACCCATCTACAAAATACCAGTATATCGTAGAATGTGAAAGAGAAATGATAGGGAACACAATGGTAATAAAAAGGAAGGATGAAGGACCAATTACACTGTTTGAAGTACATCCTATAGGTATTTCGAATGTTGCAATTATCGGATATGAATAACACCATTTTTAAATTTCATTCAGCAATTCAACTTTCTTTTCTTACAAGCGCTTCTTTTTAAAACAATTTCTGATTCAAATTCACATGTAAAAATATCATTTGAAATATTGAGTAATGGATTTCATGAATAATATTCAATACAGCATGACCACTAGAATTTATCAATGCACTTCATAGTGTGCTACAAAGTGCCAGTTTTGATAAAAATGTATTGTAGTTTGTCCTGCCTACCATTATGGAATAAATTGTGCTAAGTGCAGAAAGGCGTGTGTTTCTTGTCGTCCTATATCAGGTGTGTGCAATCATTGCTTTGGATCTTTCTTTGGAGATTTTTGTCAACATCGATGTCCGACAACGTGCATTAAAACATGTGATCAAGTGACCGGAAGATGTAATAACTGTAGTGATGGATATCATGGAAAAAACTGTGAACTTCAAATGTCTACAGATTGTAGGTTGATGAAAAAAAATATCGAATCAAACCGTAATTTCTCTTGTTCTTTCTTGCACATTTTCTGTTTTGGCGTCTTTTTAGCAGTTCAGTTTACATCTTTTTATTTACATATGTAGTATACTAAATAAGAAATGGTCAATCTTGTCTTGCTTACATACTAATGATAAAGAAAAGTCAATTTTAGTTCAAATTCTACTAAAGAATTAAAAGTCTGCAAGTCTTCTACATGTACTAATGATAAGAAGCTATTAACAGATAGGACGAAAGGCTATCAAAAGACTATAGTGGATACGATATCCTTATAGCAAATACAATCCATCGCCATTTTCATACAAAGTGTTTGGACATCATTCACATTCAATTGTTTAGATATATTTTTTCTGTTTGCCCCATTATGACAAAGAATTTAAGGCGACGTGGCGCCTGACCTATGATGTATTTAGAGTTCCGTGTTTGCTCCGATTCCAATAGACATGTTTGAGCGTGATTATTGTTTGTTATCTTCATATTCCATTGCAACCAGTCTTCATCATTTTACTTGATAAGCTATTATACATGTTATAGGTATATTTTTTCTATAGACAATAGAATTGAAGATGTAAGCAGTTCCAATTCCGATCAGAAAAAGACTAGTGCTGATCTAATGGATGACCTTAAAGGTATTTATATTTATTCAAATATACTGTGTATTAAATAATACAATATATACTACTGTCATATAGAGGAAAGAATACATATTTGTAATATATAATTAGTCGACCCCTCTTGTAAACTTCCCTGTGTTTGAAATACATATGAAATATATACCAGAGCATGGTATACCAATATACATTTCTTTTGCTTGCGCAAATAGGTAAACTTTTCTTTTATGTACTCTTTATTAAAAAAAATTATGCATGTAGCTAATGATTTCTCAAGATATTTTTATAGTTTGGGGCACTTAACTTTTCACAAATATTATTTTGTGCTTCAATTTTAATTTTTAACGAGTCAATATGTGTGCTGGACCTAGTTTGCTTTAATTGTTAAATCATTTGTTTTTATAAACACGGGGCATGTAAGGTACAGACGCGTTTCTATTTAGAAGAGAAAGATGAGAAAAATCCAAATAGATTCACAATCCTCTTGGTGTTTCTGAGTGCGTTGGTTGTTTTATCACTCCTGGTCATCATTTTTCTCCACGTATCAAAGTATGTATTTCTTGATTTTCTCAAAATTTAACAACTTTTCAATTTTATAAACTCAATTCAATATTGTATTTTAATGAACAAGAAAAAACAGTTAATATTTTTTATTCTTGATTACTTACACATTTTAATTTTTTGTCGTCGTGAAAAATTAAATTGATTTATTCTCTGCATATATTTGTGGTTTCCAGAATTATCTTTGTATTTGAGTCATTTATTGAAATATACATCGCACACTTACCATCATAAAATTGGCATTGTATGTAATTCATAATTGATAATTTAAGAAATATTTTCACTTTAAATCAGACCATACTGGTTAAACAATTAAAATGATAATTAATTATTAGTTATCAGGTTCCAAATTGGCAAAATTAATTTTAATATCAATGTATTTATTTCATTTTAAGCAATGCTTTGTTGGATTATTTTTCAACATATTGAATATAGGCTGAAGAAAGCAAAGTCTAACAATGAAGAAGAAAATGGCTTAGCCGTAAATCTTCAGAGATCAGAGTCAACAAACGAGTCAGAGCTAGAGGAGATTCCTCAAAACGAGGCTGATTACGTAGAAGAGGAAGTCGTTGTCGTAGAATACTCTAATCTGATGTCACAGAGGGTATCTTTAGAACAATTTATAAGGGAATTACCAGAAAAAAAATGCAGTGGTATACTAGAGAGAGAATTTGATGTACGTTGCAAAATACATATCAGTCTATTTATACTTTCTTTACGAAATACTTATCGTCATTTCGATCAGTATTTAAAATTTTTAAAAACACATTTTCGACAAAGAGTATTTAAAAGCAATCACTAAAATCAATTACAGGGCTTTGCTCAGAAACAGAATGTCATTTGAAGTTTAACATTCAGTCAAGAATTACAGAATCTTTTACAGCCTAATGTAATGTAATTTTTTTTTTCTCCCTTTCCCTTTTTTAAGAAAAAAATATCTTGGATAGAGTAAGGTATTCATCAACCAATGTGTCATTTCGAAAGTAAACATTCAATTTTCAAATCGAATCCTTAATTTATTGAATGAATCAGTTAATTGTAATTATAGGACCTTCCGAACGGTTTATTGGAATCTTATTCGGACGCACTTAAAGCTTCGAACAGGAAGGGGAGCCGATACAAGGGAATCTATCCTTGTAAGTAAAGAAATAAAGTCTCACAACTGGGATATATTTTTTCAATAAATATTGCAGATTCCATTCCTTCGGTTTATGGGAGTCGAACATTTCATTTTGTGTAATCTACATTCCTTTTTTCAGATGACTATAATCGTGTAAAAATCCACAGATCAGAAGCTAATGAAGATGATGATTTTATTAATGCATCATATATTCATGTCAGTATTAAATGATTTTATAAGATGTATTTCAGGAATTACAAATACTTTTGTTAGGAAATTTTTTCAAAGCAGTTTTAAATGTTTGACATTTTATTAGACATTCATGGCACTTAGGAAGTACTTATATGTTTTAGTTGTGACTGTATAATATATAAATGGTGTTTCAATACTTGTATTCTATTTAAGGGTTTCAACAGGGAACAAGCCTACATTGCTGTACAAGGTTCATTTTGAGTTTTATCTATAAAAAGTACAAGGTTCATTTTAAGTTTTATCTATAAAAAAATAACTATTATTCCCTAAGTGCTTCAACTTTGAACAATTAATGAATATTAGTCAATCTGTTGATATTTGTCTTGATAGTTCCTGATTATAACGTATGACATTATGGGGTGTCGACACTCTGCTATAAGAGGATTTAAAATTTCGAATATTGATTTTCATGAACGACAATAACATTAGAGCCTCATGAAAAATAGTTTGAAGGATGATGCACTGCTTACTTTTTCATAAATGATTTTTATGCCAGATCATGATATGACGATACTTTAAGACAGAGAACAGAGAGAATAACGATTCACTATTACAACATTGAATTTAAAATTTGAGGTGTATATGAAAATAATACCTAGTATCATACCTATTAAAATCTTGCTAGGAAACGTCATAGAGCGCTGCTTCCTAAGTCAGAATATCACAATGCAGTATTGGGTTGTAAGGGAAAAATATTTTCTGTGGAATCCGGATATGGTCATATAGTTCATTATTATACTTCTGTAAAAACGTTTCCTATATAAAGTTCAGAAGGTAAAATAGCTATCCTTTATAGCCCACGCATAGCAAAGCTATACCCCGGGGTATACTTTTTGCTATCCACCCTCAAAAAAATTTCATACAATTGTTGCCGCCAATTGTGATTTCCAGCGATAAATCTTTAAACTGATGATGTCATGATGACTTCACTAGCATAATATTGTGACATCATCAGGATTTCAGATTATTCTTGCAGAATTATCTTACTCCAAAACAAATTCAAACTTCAGAAATTATATTATACATCAGTATAATAAAACGCTTATCCACTGGTTGTGAGTGGGATAGCTCTTTTATCAAACCCTTGACAGGAACTATTCCCCTCGGGCAAGCCCTCGGGGAATAGTTCTCTGTCATGGGTTTGATATTAAGAGAGTTATCCCACTCACACCCAGTGGATAAGTGTATACTATCGCACATCGAGCATCGACTAAAACGTCGATTAGGCGATAATGCAATGGTGCGATAACGATGAAATGATGGTGTGGTTACGATGGAGCTTTAGAGTGATAGCTTGGTGACGATGATGCGATGGCGCGATAATGCGATGGTGATGTTGCGATATAACTATAGAGTAAAAGTGAATATCTCTTCATCATTATCGTATCTTCGCACCATCGCCATCGCACCGTCGCGACATCGCACTATTGCTCCATCGTGCTATCGCACCATCGTCATCGCATTATCATGCGATCACTTCATTTCTATTGCACCATTGCTTCATCGTCATCGCATTATCAAACCAAAACACGATGGTGCAATGATGCGATAGTGAACTGCATGGCCATATCCGGACTCAATAAGTTTCTTCTAAATATTTAATGTTAAAAAAAACTGTAATACTAAAGAAAATTCTGTATTATATACTTGAAACATTAACCCATTTTAAAAATGGTCCTTACAAATATACAATTTTTTCAATTTATAAGGTTTTGAAATTGGGTTTAAATGTTTTATTGTTAAATATCAAAAAACAATTTGGAAAAAATGCAAATGAAATAGAAGGTAATGTTTCCACCATATGTTTGATTTCATCGAATTGACTACTTAGAAGTCTCAATCAGGAAACGCTGATGAAAAAACTATGATTAGTTTCACATTTTGTACTTTGAAAGATATCTCTCTTATCAGAGGGTCAGTGCCCCTTAATTGTGATTGATCCTGTGAAAGAATTGAACTGAAAAAAAATCAAATTCTGAAAAATGTATGTTTAAGGTCTATTTTTAAAGATAATGAGTAATGAATGATTTATCAATTAGCTTTATGTAAATAGGTCCTTTCAATCCTAAGACATTAGAAGATTTTTGGACGGTAATATGGCAGAGCAACTCCACAAAAATCGTTATGTTGACCAACCTGTGCGAAGGTGATAAGGTGAAGGACATATATATTTCTACAAACGTTGATGGATGATAGCTAATCATCTCATTAAGTAAAAGACATATGATTTATATATTAAACGCGTGGCATATGTTTCCTTTTTTACTTTTAAGTTATTTAAAATAACACCTGGTACATTGCTGGTACATTGCTTATTTCTAATGTTTGACGATACTTTTTGACATCTATTACATTTGAATAAAGAATATTTTCCACTTTTCCAGATGAAATGTCTGAAATACTGGCCAGAGACTGAGCTGAACATTGGTCCATACACCATTAAACTGGACAAAGAGGATGTATATAACCATTATGTACTACGTTATTTGATTGTCCAGTATCAGGTTATATATACAATAAATCTATTTTTTCGGAAAATAAAATTTCATTAAATTGATGAGTTTGTATGAGTTTGATAGTGACCACATACTTGTACATGTACTTCCACATATGTGTCTTTGGTATTTTCTTTTTCCGTTTAATTTTTATGTTAAAGGTATTTCTAACAATGCAATTTCAAGGAAAATAAAAATAACATTTTAAGTTTTACAAAAAATAAAATAACGGTTTCAAGCATGCAGGGAAAATTTTGAGAAAAGGATTAATGGGTTCACTTTAATTTCTGTGCTTCTCTCGCATTTTGTTTATACACATAGTATGTTTGATCTTATAACGTTCTGAGCATTATAAAAAAAAATAGAAATAGAGAAGTATCGTCCAAAAAAAAGCTACATTCAGTAGTAATCAATATCTTCTTCGGCATTTGACCTAAGGTTCTCTGTATAAATTTCATTTTATTCTTTTGTTATTGTAAATTTACATTTCACTCAATTACAATCTAATTATCGCCCTTTGTCAGGAAGAGGAAAAAAGAGTGACACAGTTTCATTTCACCACGTGGCCTGACAACTCCGTCCCGGAAGATCTGACTTCGCTCATCTGTTTCAGGGACTTGGTAAGAAATGGAATGACATCATCAGATGGACCAATTGTTGTTCACTGCAGGTATTCAACAAAATTTTGAACAAAATATAGTTATTTAACAATACAATAATTCATTAAATTGAGCAAAATTTCTTTAAATAATTTCAAAATATATCCACAAAACGTCTGTCTTAGAACTTTGAAATGAAAATAGAAATAGTTTTGTCAATAACAACACCAGTTCATTTTAGTGCAGGAATAGGAAGGACAGGGACATTTATCTCCCTTGATTATCTCCTGGAAGAGGGCGCTGCTGAACATACAATTGACGTCAAAGGATACGTAACTTCTCTTCGACATCAACGCGGGAAATCTATACAAACACGCGTAAGTTTTTTTCCTCTCTTGACCTTCACTGTATTACAAAAAGCATGCCTCATTAACGGAAAATGTTCTCTATCAAATTTTGCAAGACTTTATATTTATCCGAACGAATACATGTTTTATTTTTTTCTTAGAGAGATAAGTAAAAATAATTTTCAGTTCTAAATTATTTCTACCGCTTCTTTTTTTTTTTTTTTTTTTTTTTACAAATATTCCCCAGATCTGCTTTGTAAAAAAAGCTTTGTCTGCTCTGTGCTATATGAAGTAACCATTGGTATTTCATTCCTTTTAGACACCTTTTATACTTTTCTATTTTCTGTGATACTTTTAGGAGCAGTACATCTTCCTGCATGACTCACTGATAGAAGGATTTACACATCACAGTGTTCGTAGGAGCTTTTTGTCGGTACTTTAAACCCACCGATACCAATTTATTTGCATTGGCATGTTTACTTTACGTTTATGTCAAGTAGGAAATCTACTTTGAAGTTTATAAATTTTCAAATGTCCCATCCATGGTTGCATAGAATGGAGTCTGACTTATTTTTATTGTCATTTTTTTTTTACTTTTACGATCATTTTTTTATGCAATGTGGAAAGAACAATGCACTTAAACACTTATTGTTATCATTTCTGAAATGCATAAGATGATTTTTTAATATCTTCCATGCTTATGATTCGCAATGTATTTGTTATTCATGTACATAAAAATTTAGAGGTTCAACTTCCTTTAAGTACGTTCGATCCTGTGCTTTTGACTAGATTTTGGTCTAGACCTTTTTTTCTAAAATTCTGTGTCATTTTTTAAGTTTTTACAATGCAAATTAAAGTATATCTTGCAAAAACCGCAATTAGATTCCATTCACTTAGGATTAAGCCAGAAAGTATGTTTTGCGGCGGAAGGTTTTTTAAAAGACAATTATCTTTTTTTTTCCTTTTTGAACTATATACAGTTCTGCAAATTTTACTATCCTATTTTTCCGTGCTGGTTGCACAAAAAAATTGTTTTTGCAGTGAAATGTGTTATGCTTGCTCTGGAATATCTATTAAATTATTTCTTATGAATTCTTTCGACGAATTATTACAAATATAGTAAATATTATTAAGTCAAGGAAAAAATTTAGCCAATTTACCATAAAATTGTCACATTTTTTGCAATATCTAAAAATTTACATCATACACCCCCACTTTTGATGTTCTTTTATGAATATATTTGACCTATCTGCTTAAACTCAGCATAAGTTTAAGACTTTAAAAAGACTTATTCTCTTTTTTTTATTAAATTTTCAATGCCGAAAAATCACACTTTGTGAGTGCAGAAAGGTCAAATAATTGATCATGTGAAGCAATTTGAAACTTTTTCTTAGTCACAATTTTAAAGTGTCTTTTTTAAAAAAAGACTTATAGTTAATTCTGTTCCATGTTTTATTCAGATAAAATATTGGAGGGAAAACGTGTAAGATGTAATTTTTTGATTAAGACACAGATGCAAAAAAGTCATATTTATTGTACTTTATCGCCAAAAGAAGCATATTGACCCCCCATATTTGGATTTGATTTTTAATTTGGCTATGCTTGTAGAAATTAAAAATATACTTGACAAAAAAGTTTAAGACTTTAAATATCAGGAGCCAACGTCGTTAATATTAGTAATTAATTAGTAAACTAATGTAAAAGAATTCTGTTAACATTTTGTCTTTCCATTTGTTATAAACTTTTCTAGTTGTTTATGTATATTTATGTAGATTTTTTATATTTGTGCAGAATCTCGGCAAGCGTCAACAAATGAATCGTTAATGACCAGTCCTGGTTTTGAATATTGCAATAAGCCATTATTTTACTTTTTTCATTCAGATAATAGGTACAAAGTTCTTATTACATTGTACAAAGAAATACTCGTTCTCTTTTCCTATGAAGACAGCGAACAGTGATATCAGAAATCGGACAATACAATTCTCTTAACAGGGAGAGACCGGTAATTCCAGAGGAAGGATCAGGTAAATAGTGGGAGAAAGCATTCCCCGTGGACCGGTCACACCCACCTTGAACCCTATGTGTTCATCAAGTAGACTGAATATATTAATTCTTTAGCCTATCATGGACTTTATGGTTGAATTAGAAATAATGTGTCAATGTCCTTAATATAAAGATATAACTCGGTAATAAAAACGTTTACTCTATTGAAAATTATGATCTATTATATTCAAATGTTGTACGTTATATATATAAAGACACAAAAACATATATATATATATATATATATGCCATTATGAAATATTTTAAAATGTTTCCTTATAAAAGGTATTATTTCATATTTTTGTATGGAGTGGAAGTGGAATGTAAAGTGTTCATTCTTAAAAAAAAAAGATTTCCTGCTCTCTGCAATGTTTTGACTATAATTATAAGTTTGTTAAAACTAAAATCATAATTCGGATTTTTTTTTTATTTCAAATCTTTGTGAAAGAGTGTTATACAGATTCACTGAATCAATTGAAATACTTTTAGGAGTGGTCATTCTCCGATGAAAAGTTGATATAAAAGTTTAAATTGTCAACACCCTGATGACCTCTAATTTACATGTGACCAGGTGTACCAGAATGATGCGCCCTAGTTGGTTCCTGATACATGTATGCAGGAGGAGGAGGAACATGACCTACAAAAAAACCATAAAAAGTCTGCAAATCGTAAAATTATATCATTCATGACAATGCATTTTATAAGTTTAGCTGTACATTTTTTCTTTAAATTAAGAGGACAGCTGCACTGATATTATTTATTAATGAAAAAAATTTACTTGAATTTTGAGCATGAAGAGGGGAAAGTGTGTTCGGGCGATGTGGTATTGCTCCATTATTCTGATGTGTTCTATTTTCATGTTGCTTAAACTTCAGGTGTACTGAAACACACACTGTTATTCCGATTACTATAGCAACGGCTAGGACCCCGCCCACAGCTCCACCTACAACGCTGGCGCCTTCACTGTAATATTGTAAAACGTATTCTATAAAATACATGCGAAAATCTTTTATATTTATTGTATGGGGAAAATAATTGACAGGTACATGTATATTGCCATCAAGATAGATTTTTGATGAAAGATAGAAATAAGTTTATTTTAACTTTAAGGCTTGAATTTCATTTAAAAGTTCAATAACCTTGTCAATAAAAATCGTTACAAAACATTTGGGCATTTAATGAGTTTTAAATAAGTAGTCAAGTCATTGGAATGTTTAATCACAATTAGTAACAATCATTCCTTGACTCTATATTCAATTTGGTACCCACCTGCATTGAGATTCGCAGTAATATGCCCAAATATTTCCATCGTAATAGCAATATTTGCCATGGCACACTCCTTAAAGGAATCAAACCATCATTTTAATCAAAATCATTGTTTTAAAATTGTTATTAAATTCCAATAATTGTAAACAAAATTACTTAAAATTCATTCAATACAATATCATGAAATTAACGAGGCTCGGGGGTGGCAGCCATTTCTAGACTATTTCAATCTCCTTTAAAAGGAGAGCTCCATATAAAGATATAGAAATTGATCAAATTTTAAAACTAAAATCTTTGAATTTTTTCTTTGTCAAATGATAGTTCACAGCTAAAGATACCGTATCTAAAAAAATAAATTAAATCTGGTGGTTAATTTGGGATTAATTTGTTGACCCTCCAGCCTCCTTAAATTCGATCTCTAAGCATGATAAGCTAGTTTATGTTGATTAATTTTATATAAACTTATCTAACCACCTTATTTAATGAGAAAAAAAAATGAAAAGAGAAAAAGCAACAAAGCCGAATAAAAAACAAAAAATATCTATCTCATAAAAGTAAAGAAAGAATTTCGTGGTTTAAGCATGATGATATTTAATCTTACCGACAAAAACGACAAGTAGAAAAATGCATCCAATTCTAACTGACGACTCCATTTCTTGTTGATTGTTAGATGTATTGAATATTTATGTTTAACGTTTCGGAACATTAATAAAATGCATGATCAATTATACAACAAATTAGCAACGGCTTCTAGTTCTTCGATCAGAAGCAATGCAAAATAATACAATTACGACAAATGATTATTGTTCTAATTCCTTTTAAAATTACCTTAATGTTTTAAGACATTTAAACTTACAAAAGCGTCAGCATAAGGGAAGAACAGTTAACTGAAATATGATGGGTTTTTTTTAAAAATACCATTGGCCATTGGCCATAATTTGCTAAACTATCTGTCTTGATAATAGAAGAAATATAATATATCATTAAAATGGACAAGTGCTCGGGTTATATGGATTAAAAATGTAAAATGTCGTTAGTACAAAACATAATTTACCCGGATCTAAACCAAAGCTAAGGTGTGCTTTTCCAATCATCTCCCCGTGTCAACAATTTTTTTTTACTTTTTTTCACTTTCATCTTCTACATCACAATTGTTGCCATGGCAAGCAAACACAGAACAAAGCATCTTTTGATAAGGAATCCTACGATTGTGCAAGGGAATTCGAAAGGTCACATCTCTTGTAAAAGAGTTTAATTTACTGTGAAAATAATATCGTTTTAATTTTTCAAAAACTTCCCAAAAAGTTCTTGGTCAGCAAAAGATAAAACGAATGAAAATCTAAACCATACTTTCCAAAGTTAAGTACAATAAAAGTAGCAACAGAAAATCAAGATTGTGATTATTTAGGAAGAAATTTACAGGAAATGCCTCCAGAAATTTTTACTTAGTGTTTTTTTTTGTATATATATTTCAATAAATCTAATAACTATGATATCCCGTTCTGGAATTTTTATCATTCTTATTTTTTCACTTTGTGCTTCTAGTCTTAAAATCTAGAATTATAAAAATATTAAAAAATTAAAATTTATCAAATTATTTCTTAAACAGTGTTGTCAAATTTGAATCCGAGTCATAAGATGTTTAGAGTCAATGTCCCCTGTGGAAATTCAATCGCACACAGGGGGAAGTCATCAGCGAATCATGCGAAAAGACATACAGAGTCCATCCTGTGATCTTTCTTTCAAATTAACCTCTTTAAGGTCCTTATTTTTATTTTATGACCTGTTACAAACAGTACAATAATGCAACAAATTCACAGCTCTGTTTTCACAAAAAACAAAACTATATTGTACTAAAAAAATAATTATAGAAAACTCCATCAAACGATACATATATATGCATCATATAAACTCATATAAACTGTTTATAATGATAAAACATGAACATAATTTAAGTCCATAAACAGGATATAAATGAAAATAATCTTAACATTTCTTTTCACAATAAAATATTCTATACATTAGAATAATTTTGAAGCATAAAATATAAACCACCAAATGAATAATGATACAAATTAGTCCGATTTTTATCCGTCAAAGTGTAGATTTGAATTATCAAGAGGCAGTAATTTCCAAATTTCCTTTTGATTTTGATTTCTCTATGATACTGCATGTGATTTTTCGAACAATGAACACTTAAGATGAAGAAGGAATTAAGTTTAAACATCCGAATGAACTAGATCCTTTTCTAATATGATCCATAATGGCTTGTGCTTGTTGTCCAATATCAATATCTAAAAGGTTGTTGGGTTGCAACGTTAATGCCTACAAGGAGAAGAAAATACTTCATCACTATTGTGTATATTCTGT